ACCTTTTATTTTTCAAAAGAAAATCGTGACATAATTACACAATACAGACATTTTACAATTATAACTAAAGACAGTCAAGCTTAATGCAGGAAGTTCCGATCTGGGGGGAGGAGGGGGAGATAGCACTTGAAAGTTTCTAAGGGGAGGGGGGTGGTGGTCTATATCATAAAGTACAAAATAGACTTGTGGAGCAACAATTTCAATAGATTGTGATTATGCTTGCAAACTGGAATTGAAGGAATTAGTATAAACTTTTGCGACGAAGGAGGCTAGTAAAATTTGATTTTGATGTCTACTGCAATTGATAATAAATGAATACGTCAGTTTTAATTAATTATTTAAAAAAAATGTTTTAGTAATTAATTTGTGTGAAAGGGGGCGTTTTAATAAGTTTTGTCTAGGGCGCTAAATAACCTGGCGCCAGCACTGGACATCCCAAAGTCGAACCTCTCAAATACAGACATCCTAACCTCGATCCTCTCAAATACAAATATCCTAAAGTCGAACCTCTCAAATACAGACATCCCAAAGTCGAACCTCTCAAATACAGACATCCCAAAGTCGAACCTCTCAAATACAGACATCCCAAAGTCGAACCTCTCAAATACAGACATCCCAAAGTCGAACCTCTCAAATACAGACATCCCAAAGTCGAACCTCTTAAATACAGACATCCCAAAGTCGAACCTCTCAAATACAGACATCCCAAAGTCGATCCTCTCAAATACAGACATCCCAAAGTCGAACCTCTCAAATACAGACATCCCAAAGTCGAACCTCTCAAATACAGACATTCCAAAGTCGAACCTCTTAAATACAGACATCCCAAAGTTGAACCTCTCAAATACAGACATCCCCAAGTCGAACCTCTCAAATACAGACATCCTAAATAGGAATCTAACAGATATAATTGTCACAGTCGCACACATCTAGAAATATAAACCTTCTAATAGTTTTGGTCCCCAACATAAAATATACCAAATAAAAGCCTTCTTCTTCTTCTTCTTTCTTATTTTTAGTGTTGGAAGGAATCGTCTCCTTCACACTTTAGTATACGTGCCAACTGGTTGTACGCAATTGTGACCATTAACTCCAAATTAAGCCTGCTTTAATTTGTGGGTTTGCTTCCATAGCCTTTGAAACTTCCCCAATCCGAACCTCTCCAATACGAACCTCTCCGATGCGAACTTCTCCAATACGAACTTCTCCAATACGAAACTATCCAATACGAACCTCTCCAATACGAAACTATCCAATACCAACCTCTCCAATACGAACCTCTCCAATACGAACCTCTCCGATACGAACCTCTCCAATACGAACCTCTACGATACGAACCTCTCCAATACGAACCTCTCCAATACAAACCTCTCCAATACGAACCTCTCCAATACAAACCTCTCCAATACGAACCTCTCCGATACGAACCTCTCCAATACGAACCTCTCCAATAAGAACATCTCCAATACGAACCTCTCCAATACGAACCTCTCCAATACAAACCTCTCCAATACGAACCTCTCCAATACGAACCTCTCCAATACGAACCTCTCCAATACGAAACTATCCAATACCAACCTCTCCAATACGAACCTCTCCAATACGAACCTCTCCGATGCGAACTTCTCCAATACGAACTTCTCCAATACGAAACTATCCAATACGAACCTCTCCAATACGAACCTCTCCGATACGAACCTCTCCAATACGAACCTCTCCAATACGAAACTATCCAATACGAACCTCTCAGATACGAACCAATCCGATACGAACTTCTCCAATACGAAACTATCCAATACGAACCTCTCCAATACGAACCTCTCCAATACGAACTTCTCCAATACGAACCTCTCCAATACGAACCTCTCCAATACGAACCTCTCCAATACGAGCCTCTCCAATACGAACCTCTCCAATACGAGCCTCTCCAGTACGAACCTCTCCAATACGAACCTCTCCAATACGAACCTCTTAAACCTCTAAAATGCTCAAAATCTTTAAAACAAATTCCTTACTCAAACCGTTTAACTGCAAACCTTTTAAATAACCAATTTGCCACAAGTCCTAATTAATTCATTAAGTATTTACCCCCTCACAATCCTCAACGAACCAACATTCCAACAAAAAAATCTTCCAATTTTGTTTGTACTCCAAACAACCTCCTTTCTATTTTTACCCCCTACGTCTGATTGGTCCGTTCCCATAGCGTATTCTTACTTTTTAATATCTGTAGCCCATATGAAACGTTAAATAAACTAGTAAACAATAACACAGGTTAAAATATTATGATCATGTGGGCGAAACGTTTCTTGATCATCAAAATATTATGGCTCCTTCGCACATATTTGACTCGATATTGATAATCTCAGCATCTTTCATCTCCCGCTTTAATCAACCTCTCGCGAAAATACAACGAACTTTTGACACCGAAGGATTTTCTTGCTCCATAAACACGTCCAAAAATAGCAGCAGTTACGGCATTCAAAATGCACCAAAGGTAACCTTTTAACCTGGGAGGGTGACGTAAATGTAGATGAGGGGGAGGAGGGAGGGGTTGTGTGGGTGGGAAGGAGTGGGGGGGGGGGGCAGCGGAGTGTGATATCGTGTTGAACATTTACTGGTGCCGGGGTAATTGGGTCATAAACACACTTTATGAGAACCGTCTGCCAAAACAAACACAGCTCATCCCAAGAGAACGGACCAGGCCAGTAATTGGCTCTAATAGAGATCGATTATTCCCCTTCCCCTCCTGGCTTTTTTTTTGGGGGGGGGATGAGGAAGAGGGGTTAGTTTGAGTGTGTGGGGGTGGTGGGGTCGGGGTGTGTGTGCTGTAATTGTGATACATCGGGCGAATGATGGCGATGATATCAGCACCAGTCGTGGGAGATGACGCGTTGTCCTTTTGGTTGTGTTTTGGTTTAGGTCGTTAGCTTTGTCAAATTGTACTGGTTGTGTTTAGTTTATTAGCACTGTCTTTTTATCTGGTTAAGGTTAGTTCGTCAGCCCTCGCAATTGGTTTGATTAGGTTTACTTCGTTTGGATTTTAGATTGTTAGCCCAGGTTTCGTATTCACCTCGACCGCCATGATTCTTGTGAGGTCGAATGGTAGAGCTTACTACTTCTAACCTGAAAGTGTAACATTCAAATCCCAGGCTTCAAATCCGTAGGAAGTGCCTTGAGTCCGCCAAGCTCTAAAGAAAAGTAATTATAACAGGGCCAAGAACTGAGCATCGTATGTCACGGAAATAGGTTACCTCTACTTCAACTCCCCATCTAACTGTTTGGTCCGTAAGAGTGTCGCTTATAACCAGACAAGTCCTCTGTGTTTTGTCTATGAACTTGTCGCCCTAAAGTTTTGTCTATGAACTTGTCGCCCTTAAGTTTTGTCTATGAACTTGTCGCCCTAAAGTTTTGTCTATGAACTTGTCGCCCTAAAGTTTTGTCTATGAACTTGTCGCCCTAAAGTTTTGTCTATGAACTTGTCGCCCTAAAGATTTGTCTATGAACTTGTCGCCCTAAAGTTTTGTCTATGAACTTGTCATCATAAACTTGGAAAAGATAAATGCACACCAATTTGAGTATGATGTAAAACTAATGGATTTGATATTCTGAAATGTTGTTCTCTTTAAAATTGTGTTAACATTTTTGTTAAATGTAGATTAAATCTGACTTACAAAAAGTAAATTAAATCAAACCATGAAAAATGAAGTAATTAAATATTAAAGATCTGTAAACGTTAATCTAATATTCTCAGCAAAACACAAATAAAATTCGCTAATGCACATCACATGCAATTTACTTTATACCTATATTTTTTTAAACGAAAGTAATCAACGTCATATAATTTTAAAATACACATTTTGATTGGCTTGCAAATTCAGGAATTTTTTTTTTGCCTGGCATTTTTAAAAAAATGAGGAATGATTATGCCCATCCCATTACTCAGCTTTGTAAAACAAATTAATATTTAATAGCGCTGTTGAACACACAACTATTTCAAGCACTTATGTAAACGTGCGCTGATAAACTGGTATAATAGAACTATCATTTTAGAAATTCCTCTTTCATGGCAGATGAAGTAGAGTTGATGTTTCTTTACTTTGCCATGTAAACAATGGTGTTGTCAGCACAATGCCCGACTGGTTGCTTTACGTGAGCCAGGTACCAATTTTAGCTGGGTAGACTCAGGGACGTCTGCCAGACTCTAGCCAAGATCCGAACTCGAGACTTTTTAAGTTAGCAGTCGAGCGCTCTAACCCTACGACCACGCCACGCCGTCTCATAGAGCTATCATACCTTAAAAAAACTACAGGCTATAAACATATATCAAAAGATTACAATTTGTTTACAGAATTTATAATTAAATAACAGTTACGACTTAAATGGTATTAAAAAAATATTTCAGAGACATTATGGCGCCACTATTAGAATTTTAAACACATACTAAAACCTCACAAAGAACAGAGATCCAACTTTCATAATTACATCACTAACTTTCGACAACAAATTTACTGTAAACATCATGTCCCAATTTAAAAAAAAAATCTACAAATGCTCAAAAACCACTAGTACGTTCCCTACATTAATTGAAAACCAAGTCGTAATAGAATACCAAATGCATATATGACACCACAAAATCACTTACAAAACGATAAACTCAACAACGACTTCGACATTATCTTAATATTCGGTTTAGATACACCTCATTTAAAGTGCTGGTCCGTTAATCCCAATTCCAAATGCACCGCCAAGACTTTCTATTTCCTAGTCGGATCCCAAACGATTATCCACTGTCCGTATATGTTTTTGTGATTAGCTTGACGTTTCTCTTCAAACACCAAATACACACTATTTTGGTTCAATATTTCAATGGCGAAAACATATATATATATATATATATATATATATATATATATATATATATATATATATATATATATATATATATATATATATATATATATATAAACAGTATTGCACTATTGTTTGTTATATTTCAGGTACCTATTATTGTTTGAATATGATTTTGATCACGCTGTCCAGTTTCTTGAACGTTCTGATCGTTGACTTGACCACCCATGGACAGAGGACAACAGCCCCTCCCAAAGTTAGCAAGGTAAGGTTTGGGTTGGTCTGATGCCAGTATCATTGGTGGTTGACCAGAGCAACAAACTTTCGATTTGCACCACCCCTCCTCAAACTTTCAATTTACACCCCCCTCGAACTTTTCATTTGCATCCCCCCCGTCAAACTGTTAATTTGGCGCCCCCCTAAGGTCGGCGCCCGGGGACATGTGTCCCCCCCCCCACCCCCCACCCTCGCTACGCCTCTGTGGTTGACCCGAGTCGACTAGGGTAGGTGGGGAGATGTTTCTACTGAGTAGAAATGTGTTTTTGTGAGTTACCCAAATGTATTGTAAAACTCTGACGTAAACACTCATGGCTGTTACATAAAAACAGTCCTGTTTGGATAGTAAAAAATTAGTTACCTTAGCTGGGGACAGCAATCCATCTAGAAGAGAAGGAAATACCTCGCAAAATCAAGCAACATCTGACTGATTCATTATACGTAGATGGTCAAAGCAAAGGAAATAAAACTAGACAGAAAAGTAGACGTAAGTTGGAGACAGCGGGCGACATGATGCATAACATATTTACATCTAATAATTACATGTGTTGGGGGAAATCCCTATCGATATCATACAATTAAGAACGAAGAAGAAGAAGAACGTTTACAGGTAGCAAGTATGAATTGTGTGTCAGATGTGTGAGGTATTTCCAATCGGCGTGTGTTCTGTCAAGTGTGTTTGCCAGGTGTGCAGTGTTTCATTTGGGACCACAGGTGGGTATGTCATATAAGACCACAGATGTGTATGTCATGTGGCACCACAGGTGTGTATGTCATATGAGACCACAGATGTGTATGTCATATAAGACCACAGGTGTGTATGTCATATGAGACCACAAATGTGTATGTCATGTGGGACCACAGGTGTGTATGTCATGTGGGACCACAGGTGTGTATGTCATATAAGACCACAGGTGTGTATGTCATGTGGGACCACAGGTGTGTATGTTATATAAGACCACAGGTGTGTATGTCATGTGATACCACAGGTGCGTATATTAAGTGGGACCACATGACGTGTGTTTCCTCTGGCACTTCTGATATGTTCGCTTCTGAAGCACGTATGTCGAGAATATCTTGCTTTTGTCAGACGCCTTGCCTGGCGTGTATGCAACTTCCTAAACATCATACCCATAATTCACTTCAGCAAAAAAAAAATACACTGAAAAACGACGTTTTTATTTCAACTGGATTCCAAATTTCTTTTTCAAGTTTTTCTTCAACTACCTGGCCAAGTGTCTAATGATGGAGGATCTAGTTCGGCCGTTCATCTCAGCCAAACCCAAAAGTAGAACACCGAAAGACGATATTGGAAAGATCGAGGTACGTTCATTTATTTTCTTACCCGCCTCAACCATGTTTTGCAAAGATAAGTGTTATCTCGTTTAAAAGCATATGTGTATGCTTATTCTCTCCAACCTATCATATGGAATTTCACTTTAAATTATTTACCTTGTGAATCAACATTTGAAAATAATTATAATAATATTGATAGAATTTTTTTTAAATGCAAATCAAGAAGACATAATATGCTTAAATTGTGTGGATGTTTCAGCTAGGTGCCAATATGTCTATGTATTTGTGAAGGTTTCTGATTAGGAATGTTCTAATGAATAAGCCCGAACGGTTTTAAAATTGTTTTTATGTGTGTATCTTTGTCTCTATGTATGTGTATGTGTGTGTCTGAAAGATGAATGGTAAATGCACCAATGAATAAGCAAGATCGCTGCAGAATTTGATATTTCTATGCATGACAACACTTCAATACCGAGACTATCAACCATAAAAAGAATGAAATTATCTTTTGAGGAAATCCTTTCATCCTAACCGGATAACGCTAGGATATTTCAGCGTCACAATCCGACACATCACGTGCCTGACCTTGACCGCCACGACTCACATAAAGAGGACTAACAGTGACAGGTCCTTAAATCCTCACTAGACGTTTGTTTTCTTGTCCAAAGTTTTTTTTTTTTTAAATTCTAAACGTTAAAACCCAAAGCTACGTTAGCAAACAAAGAAAAGGTAGGCTGCCTCGTTTGTAAACATTTTTTTATTTTCGTATTTAAAGAAAAAAAAAATGTTAACAGAGTTAGAAAACTTCTCGGAGATGAATTGTCTTCACAAGTTCAATGATCTACGAGTTCGACATCTTCTTAGCATCACAACTCCGTTGCTCTGACGTTTCTTGACCTCGGTCGAACGCTGATGACAAATAGGTAGAACCTGAAATTTCAATTTGACGGACATAGAACTTACAATATGGCAGACACAGAACTTTTAATTAGGCTGACCCAGAACGTTCGATTCGGTAAACTTAGGACTCTCAACTTGGCAGATTCAGAACTTTCAATTCTGAAGATCCCAGAACTTTTAATAAGTCGTAGTCAGAATTTTCAATTTGACAGACCCAAAACTTTTAATTTGGAGTAGTCAAAAAGTTCAGTTTGGCAAATTTAGAACTTACAATTTGGCAGACTTAACACTTTCAATGTGACAGACTTAGAACTTACAACAGCCCAGTAACTTGACAATTTTAATTATTTTTAAAAATATATTTTTAAAACTTAATTAATTACAATATAAACGATTGTTTCTTTTAAGTCATATCAAATGTAAAAGAATTCAACTACTCATTAAATCGCAGGAAAAAAATTAACCCATTATAAAAAAGATATATACCGGTTTCTGCTCCAACTATTACAAGATTTAAACAATTGGAAATTATTCTCCAAATTTTATTACATTTTTATCTACATTTTCTGATTGTTTTAGTAACGCCTGGATTAATTTTCTAAAAAATGAAATTTTTTTTAACCACAGGCTTTCACGTGCAATAACTGGTTTAATTAAATTAATGAAGCGTACTTCAACTCAGGTTTTAGAACATTAGCGTTAAAAAAAGATATTTCAAAAGGTGATTTCTATTAGCACGGAAACGTGAGACTGTACCGCTTCACTTGTTAACAACGACTAACTCTTTCATCCGATAACTGCGTTTAGTCATTGTTTGAATTTTTTTAGCAGAGTCTTTTTTGGGGGGTGCTATTGTTTAAATATTTATAGTCATGAAAATATTGAGTGTCTTTAGTGTTGAAATAAATATCTTCGTGCAGTTACTAGATTTTGTCAGTGTTTAAATATTGCATATTTCTTTCTTCCCTGTTTACTATATGTTATTTTCCTTATCAATTTACTAGGTTTACCATTGTTTAACTATTTCTAGCCATGTAACTTGTAATTATTTGTTTATGGTTTTGGATTTTTCTCTTTGTGTAGTTACTGGGTTTTGTAATTGTGTATATCCATACACTTACTGTATTTTGTCATTGTTCAAATACATCTCCATACACTTACCGTGTTTCGTCATTGTTTAAATATTTCTCTCCTTACACTTACTGTGTTTTGTCACTGTTTAAATATTCCTTTCCATACACTTACTATATTTTATCATTGTTCAAATATATCTCCATACACTTACCGTGTTTCGTCATTGTTTAGATATTCCCCTCCATACACTTACTGTGTTTTGCCACTGTTCAAATATGTCTCCCCATACACTTACTGTATTTTGCCATTGTTCAACTATTTATCTCCATACACTTACTGTGTTTTGACATTGTTCAAATATACATCCATACACTTACTGTATTTTGTCATTGTTCAAATATACATCCATACACTTACTGTATTTTGTCATTGTTCAAATATACCTCCATACACTTACTTTGTTTTGTCATTGTTCAAATATACCTCCATACACTTACTGTGTTTTGCCATTGTTCAAAAATACCTCCATACACTTACTGTGTTTTGTCATTGTTTAAATATTTCTCTCCATAAACTTTTTTGTCATTGTTCAAATATACCTCCATACACTTACTGTGTTTTGCCATTGTTTAAATATTCCTCATTATACACTTACTGTGTTTTGCCACTGTTTCAGGAGAAAACATGGAAGCACGAACTAGACGGCTCGAATGAAGCAATAGTTTCATTACAACGAGATCAAACCAGTCAGGTAAATACCGGAAGTAGCGCTGGAATAAAGCATGCCCGGCCCCGTCTGTTGATCCCCGGGCCCGTAAGAGTTTGCTCAATGAATTCTGGGAGAGGGCGTAGATGGGTTAGAAGTGGGGGGTCGGGGAGAAACGGAGAAGGGGTGGAATTAAGCAATCAAACAAAGACGCGTTGATTAAACAAAATCACGTGACGGTGTTTGTGTTTTCCCGGGGATGGAGGGGATTTGGCGCGTGGGGGACTTTGTTCGTCGGCAAACTTTTGTATTTTTTTTATTTCACTGCTGACAGCTATAGTTTACCTCTAGTATAAAAAATAATGACAGTCATTTTTTATTAATAGAGTTTTTCTTATAGCCATATTGTATATGCAAAATACTGCAAACTTTTGTATTTTTTTTTTACTGCTGACAGCTATAGTTTACATCTAGGATAAAAATAATGACAGCCATTTTTTTTAATATACTTTTTCTCATAGCCATATTGTACATACAAAATACTGCATACTTTTGTATTTTTTTTACTGCAGACAGCTATATTTTACCTGTAATGTAAAAATAAAGACAGCTGTTTGTATGTAATAGATTTTAAGTAAAGTGTTTTTCATAGAGACATATTCTACATACGGCTTTACTCCAAAATATAATAAAATATATTTGTCATACTAGGGTTTATAACTAAAAATGTTTTTTTTTTAAATCATATTTTTTGAAACTTTCGGCACTTGAACATTTTTGTTGGGGGGGGGGGGGGGGGGGGGTAAAATTTCCGGGCGGGGGTGTGGCAAACATACGTTATAGTTAGTTTATATTTTCTATATGGAAAATAATTTTTTTGCATCGTCCAGGGAGGGGACAGACATGCTACTGAGGAAGGGTATAGGGCTGGTAAGTAGGTCACTAACCAGTTGTACGGCTCAATAAAACCTGCATGAGCCATAGAACTGGTTGGTGACCTACTTACCAGCCCTATTGGCCTACCCTCTGGAAATAAACCCTCACACAAAAGAGAACGGTCTGGAAAAAAAAATGCTTGTTCGAGCTAATTAAATGTTTGTAAACGGCGGGCAAGGTTTCAACTGTGACGTCATGCGAACCGCTGGCAGCTAGAGCCAACTTATGACGTACCTGCTTACGTCATCCCCCTAATGAGAATTCACACTTTAAATTCTCGTTAAACCCTCGTTTTTGTTTTACTTACTCGACACTGGGAAATTAAATTCACAGACAGGGAACTTATTCGCTGCTGCTTCAAAATGTCTTCTAAAATTGATTCTTGTGTTCTAGCACCTGTAGAGCGATTTACCTGTCTATTCTGTGTTGAAGCATACGAGCGGGTGGAGCCTTTAGATTGCATCTCTTGTGAAAATTTGACATATTGAATCCATTTTATTTTTCTTACTAATAGGGTTTTCAAATTTCACCCCTTTAGAATTACTTACCTGTTTATATCTATTCTATTACTGGGATGAAAAATTGATTACTTTAAAAAAAAAACAACGACATACTTAAGTAGATTTTATGGTCAGGAATTGTATTTTTTCATTTACCTCTTTGAGAATAACCATAGTATTCTTTTATTCCTTTACCAGTGGTGTCTTGAATGTTACAATTCCATTGTTGAGCCTAACTTCTAGCTATGATAACATATCACAATTGAACCTAACCTTAACTGGTTCTAGTAATAATCAACTGTTACTTTACCCCTCGTCTTTCTAAACTAACCTCTAATATTACCCCGAACCTAATCTCTAGCCCCCCCCCCCCCCCAAGAACCTAACCTCTTATTTTAAAACCCCACGCCTATTAAACCTATCCCCTAAATATCACCCCTCCTCTAATATCACACCTTCCATAAATATCACCCCTCCCCTATTGAGCCTATATTACAACCACTCACATGTTGAACCTATCCTCTAATATTACATCTAACCTCAACCTGTCATCTAGCATATCACCTTCCCTACTGAACCTATCTTCTAGTCTACCCTAACCATGTCGGCTTTAACTTCTACTGTGCTCTAGAATACCAACTCTTACGAACCTAACTCTACCTCCCCCATCAAACCTAACCTCTAATATACCCCCCATCAAACCTAACCTCTAGTAAAACCCCCTACCCCCATCAAACCTAACCTCTAGTACAACCCTCCCCCACCCCACCCCCATCAAACCTAACCTCTAGTACAACCCTCACCCACCCCACCCCCATCAAATCTAACCTCTAGTACAACCCTCACCCACCCCACCCCCATCAAATCTAACCTCTAGTACAACCCTCCCCCACCCCACCCCCATCAAATCTAACCTCTAGTACAACCCTCCCCCACCCCTCCCCCATCAAACCTAACCTCTAGTACAACCCTCACCCACCCCACCCCCATCAAATCTAACCTCTAGTACAACCCTCACCCACCCCACCCCCATCAAATCTAACCTCTAGTACAACCCTCACCCACCCCACCCCCATCAAATCTAACCTCTAGTACAACCCTCCCCCACCCCACCCCCATCAAATCTAACCTCTAGTACAACCCTCACCCACCCCACCCCCATCAAATCTAACCTCTAGTACAACCCTCCCCCACCCCACCCCCATCAAATCTAACCTCTAGTACAACCCTCACCCACCCCACCCCCATCAAATCTAACCTCTAGTACAACCCTCACCCACCCCACCCCCATCAAATCTAACCTCTAGTACAACCCTCACCCACCCCACCCCCATCAAATCTAACCTCTAGTACAACCCTCACCCACCCCACCCCCATCAAATCTAACCTCTAGTACAACCCTCCCCCACCCCACCCCCATCAAATCTAACCTCTAATATAGCCCCTACCCCCCTTCAAACCTAACCTCTAATATAACCCCTCCCCACCCATCAAACCTAACCTCCCCTCCTCTCCACCCCCAGTGTGTCGGCCCACTGGCAGAGATCGAACACAAGCTAGGCGAGCTGCGTGAGTTCATGAAGCTCCAGAAACAGCGCATCGAAGACCGCGACAAGAAGGACAACATCGCCAAGCAGTGGAAGGCGGTAGCGCTCATCCTGGACAGGATCTTCTTCTTCCTCTACCTCCTCCTCATCTTCGCCTCCCTCAGCTACACACTTCCGGTCCTCACCTGGTCCAACACCAGTTACAACTCATCCCTCGTGCAGATCGCCAAAACTGCTGTTTAATTATTTATTTTTTTTGGACGAAATCTTGAATCGACTGGAGAAATCTTGAATCAACTAGAGAAATCTTAAATCGACTGGACAAATATAGAATCAACTGGAAAAATCTTGAATCAACTGGAGAAATCTTCAGTCAACTGGAGAAATTTTGAATCAACTAAAAAAAAACCTCGAATCAACTGAAAAAATCTTGAATCGCCTAAAGAAATCTTGAATCAACTGGAAAAAATTTGAATGAACTGAAGAAATCTTTAATCAACTGCAGAAATCTTTAATCAACTGTAGAAATCTTTAATCAACTTGAGAAATCTTGAATCTGATAACGTAAAAAAACAACAACAATGCAACTTCAACTGGATGAGAAAAAAGATATTGAGCTTCCAGCTATACAGAATTAATACGTTTTTGTAATTTGGTTCTACTTTAGTAAAATTTTAAAAAAAAATGATATAATATACATATACATTAGGAATATTTTTGTCTGGCATATTTATGCATTCATCTAATTCTAATCATTAAAGTCGAGTTTTAATGCAAATGATATTTCGCTTTGAATATTCGAGACATCAGTATTCAAAATAAGATAATCGTTTTTTATACGATTACCTTTCACTTCGATGAATTTTTTATATTGTTTTATTTATTAACTTAAAAGATTTACGTCTTTCTAGGTAGCTTAGCAAAACAAGTCTGTCGTTATTGTTACAATTGACATTTCCTACATGAAATGATATGTTTATTTTTAATAGACAGGAACTTGTTTATGTCTTGTTACACCGTGTACATTTATTCTATATTTACGTGTGTCACGTGGTATTTATTATTGGAAGGCGAGGCGTGGGTTTTCATGCATGGCTTAACGCACAGTGAGCACTTTCTCGAATCACGTGAATGCAATGGTAAGCGGTTGGATATTTAAGACATTTCTACTTCAATAGGGCTGGTAAGTAGGTCACCAACCAGTTCTACGGCTCAATAAAAACTGCATGAGCCATGGAACTGGTTGGTGACCTATTTACCAGCCCTATTTGTTCTCATAAGTGTACAAAAAAACAACAACATGTATTTGAATAGCTGCGTGGATTTGAATGCATACATTGTTTTGAAAGTTAGTTATAAGACTAACTTCAATGACATTTTAGCGACGTTGAAAATTAAATACTCTTGTTATGCAATGTTCACAGATACTATTTATTCTAGTAGATTTAGCACTTTGTCAATGATATTGCATTAAATGTCTAGAATCGATTTTTGAAGCTTCGTTAACGATGCTACACGTTTCGAGGTCCGAAACAAATGAATGTTTTGTTTTGTTTCTAGACTCGAAACGACTTTTTTTATAATTAAATATTTTTTTCATGTTATATTGTCCATATTTTAGCGTTGCATCTACGTTCGAACTACTTGTCTCTGCGACTAAATTACTTGTTACAACTTTATTATCATTATAGTGAAATAACATCCATGTTTAGCTAAATTGTATCCTTGATCGAACTACGTGTCTCTAGGATTGAACTTTTTCTTCTTGGTCGAGTCTATGTACATTTGTTGTAACTGTAGAGCAGAAGTAAATAAACCACGACAGATGTGTGTGATAAAATCCGGTGAAATATAAATCCCAATAACTCTAATGTGCGAGCGTTGACATCTTTATTACACAAGTATGTTGCACACTCATGCACAAATGTGCAGCCTCTGATAAAGGTGAGCACAATGGCTGTGTCGTTAGAGGCGTATTGTGTTCGTAATGACAATAACATAAAATAAATATAGCGCGGTGTAGCCTGAGAATTGAAAACTTTTTTCACGAAGTAGGCTTGGTTCTAAGGGGGGGGGGGTTTACTCAGGGGGCGCGATATCTGTCAATTTTAAACTTGTGGTGTGTGTGTGTGGGGAGTGAGTCTAGATTAGAATTGATCAAAATGTAAGGTTAATGTCCATGTTGAGAAGGGTAGAGAGCTAATGTCCATGTTGAGGAGGGTAGAGAGCTAATGTCCATGTTGAGGAGGGTAGAGAGCTAATGTCCATGTTGAGGAGGGTAGAGAGCTAATGTCCATGTTGAGGAGGGTAGAGAGCTAATGTCCATGTTGAGGAGGGTAGAGAGCTAATGTCCATGTTGAGGAGGGTAGAGAGCTAATGTCCATGTTGAGGAGGGTAGAGAGCTAATGTCCATGTTGAGGAGGGTAGAGAGCTAATGTCCATGTTGAGAAGGGTAGAGAGCTAATGTCCATGTTGAGGAGGGTAGAGAGCTAATGTCCATGTTGAGGAGGGTAGAGAGCTAATGTCCATGTTGAGGAGGGTAGAGAGCTAATGTCCATGTTGAGGAGGGTAGAGAGCTAATGTCCATGTTGAGGAGGGTAGAGAGCTAATGTCCATGTTGAGGAGGGTAGAGAGCTAATGTCCATGTTGAGGAGGGTAGAGAGCTAATGTCCATGTTGAGGAGGGTAGAGAGCTAATGTCCATGTTGAGGAGGGTAGAGAGCTAATGTCCATGTTGAGGAGGGTAGAGAGCTAATGTCCATGTTGAGGAGGGTAGAGAGCTAATGTCCATGTTGAGGAGGGTAGAGAGCTAATGTCCATGTTGAGAAGGGTAGAGAGCTAATGTCCATGTTGAGGAGGGTAGAGAGCTAATGTCCATGTTGAGGAGGGTAGAGAGCTAATGTCCATGTTGAGGAGGGTAGAGAGCTAATGTCCATGTTGAGGAGGGTAGAGAGCTAATGTCCATGTTGAGAAGGGTAGAGAGCTAATGTCCATGTTGAGGAGGGTAGAGAGCTAATGTCCATGTTGAGGAGGGTAGAGAGCTAATGTCCATGTTGAGGAGGGTAGAGAGCTAATGTCCATGTTGAGGAGGGTAGACGACAAATGCCCGTGTGTATTTAGGATAACAGAATAACGGTCTAATAAACTCGTAGAGCAAGGGTTATGGCGAAAAGTGCTAATGTCCATGTTGAGATGGATTAAAAGCGTATAAAGCTAATATGCACATGGAAGGAGGGTTATGGGGTAAAGGGCTAATATGAACATTGATTCAGAGTTATAGCGTAAAGAGATAATGTCCGAATTGACAAAATAACTTTGGGGACTCCGGCTGACGTCACACAGCCCGAATCTAGATACGAACTCGAGACCTTCGGGATAGCGGCCAATCTCTCCGACGCGTAAAGAGTTAATGCTCATGTGTGACTAGGGTAATAGCGTAAAGGGTTAATGCTCATGTGTGACTAGGGTAATAGCGTAAAGGGCTAATATCCAAGTACGTGCATGTACATGCTCTCAATTTTAACAACATGTTTACATGTTGCGTGTAATAGTACACGCATATAGCTAGGTAGCTATTGTAAAAAGCTATTTTAGAAACATAAATTACAAAGCAAAGTGTAAAAAAAACGTGATGTTTGCCAAGCAAAATAATAAACAAATCGGATAGTTTTGTCTGGAAAATTAAGAAATTTACACAATTTATATATGCTCTTAAGTTTAGTGGGTTTGTAAAAAAAATAAACCGGGAGTGATCTCCCCTAAACTTTCTCGAATATTCTTATGTAAAATAACAGGGGATGGGAACTCGGGCTATAGACATGATTTTTAATCCATTTTAAATACTTAAAGTTTTAAAAATAGAATAAAATCTCGTAGACAAATTAATTGCACACCAAGTGAACGCGAAATAAAAAAGCGCATAATAGTGCGCAATATTATTATTACTTTAAAAATTTACATTAGTTTTTTGAGAAATCGGAAGTAGCGTAAATTACTACTTCCGGTCAACGGAAATTACTCAACATTTAACAGAAGGTAGAGAATTAGATCTTCTACTTACATGTGAAATTTCATTTATCTATCTGAAATAGTACTCAAGTTATAGGCTTTTGAAAAATTCAAAGTAGAAAAAGTACCACTTCCGGTTGTCAGAAATCGCTCAAAAGTTGATACGGATCTACGATTTTGATAAAATACTTATATATGAAATTTCATCAACCTAGTTGTAACGGTACTCAAGTTATCGTGTTTACACACGGACACACACACACACAGACACACACACAGACACACAGACATACGGACAAGATTGCAAAATTATGTTTTTCCGTATCAGTGAGATGCAAAACGTCGAGATTTGCAAAAATCTCGATTTTTTTTTTTTGCACGATTACAAGACTTTCTCTATACTTCGTATATACGAGAAAGTAAAAAAGGAAAGAAAAAAGGTCATTAACTTAGGCTTTCTGCTGCCAAAATTTAGTTTCTCCACCTGTGTATTCTATCTGTACAGTTAGTTGAAAATTTAAATAAGTTCAGCCAATGAGGTTCCGTGTTTTTTTTTTTTAAAAATCCAACCAATGAGGTTCGCCGTTAGTGAATTATTGTCTATTCCATAAGCTGGTAAATAAAATTAGTAGAATCAGAATATAAAATACAATAACTCACTTGTTCGAAGTGTTTATTTTGTGATTTAAGGGTTAAAACAGTTTTAAAATCTCGAAGCGTTTTATAATTTAAACGTGGGCAATAAAACACTGAACTATCAAGAAAAGAAGCACATATTTCCGTTATTTTAATATGTCGAAGAATTATGAACTGTGGTTCCCCAATGTCTCCAATAAGGGTTAAGGAACGATGAGGATGATGAATATGAACTTTTGTTTTCCTAATATACTAAACTGTGATAACGAAAGCGAAATGTCGTTATTGAACTAAAAGAACAAAGAACGTGCCATTCTTGTGTAACGAATTAAAAACGAAGACTACTAGTACTACAAGGTGTATAGCAATATGTAAAATATACACTAGAAAAATCAATTGTGAAAGGGGGGTGTGTGCACATAATCATGCTGGACAAATTCAGCAATAGCGTATATTATAACATTCACAATGTGACTAACAATACCTGAGGTTATATCTCGCTTGTGTTATATAAAAAAAATAAACAATTCACTCACATTCGTAGATCACTTAAATATTACTAGTCATTTTTATTCACAACATTCACGCCATTAATTAAATTCTTAATCATCCCAGCATCAAATCACATGCTGCTTATATCAGTAAAATAGTGATATTATGATGTAGTCAGTGGCGTCGCTGGGTCGGGCGTAACCCGAATTCATTGTGTCACCCCCGCACCCCCTCGCGACGCCACTGGATGTAGTTCAGTAATTTAATTGAAAATGTGTCTTTTCTAAAACAGGTACAGTAGACTTTCATGTAACAGTTCACATTGATTTTTATGTTTAACACGTTTTAAATTTTAATACTGCTGTTTGTTGTTTAAAATAGATCTTTGGACTTGCACTTCCAGTAAAGTATCATTCAATAAGATAATTGATTATGTGGCGTAATTTGTCTTGTCAATATATATATATATATATATATATATATATATATATATATATATATATATATATATATATATATATATATATATATATATATAGATGTGTATATATTTATATGTGTATGTATGTTTTGTATACAATACATATATATATATATATATATATATATATATATATATATATATATATATATATATATATATATATATATATATATATATACATATATATGTATATATAAAAAAATATAAATATATATATATATATATATATATATATATATATATATATATATATATATATATATATATAGGCCTGTATGTATATATATATATATATATATATATATATATATATATATATATATATATATATATATATATATATATATATATATATATATATATATATATATATATATATGAATAATGTTTTTGTTTTTTCAGTTATCCAGTTCTCCGTAAAATTGTTCATGACTTTTTTTGTTTTCCATTCGCTCTACACAATTTACTTCTAACAAAATTCACCGGATAGATTGTTATTTGGGCCTGTCCTTTATTCTTAACTTGGTAGACTTTCTTGTGTAGGTTCAAATTATTTCAATGTTTTTTTTTTATCAATTAGAAAATATTACAGATTTTTAATGGTTATTTTAAAAGAGAGTTTTCTATACTTTTGTTACACGTATATCGTTTTTAGTCTGAACTGTGTTTTATGAATGAATATTTTAATAACAGTAGAGTTTTTGCTAATGTAAAATAAAAACCATTTTTTACACAAAGTCGTAAATTCCAGTGTGTTTGTTTACAGCAGTATACTAGAGCTAAGTTGTAACCATAGATATGCTGAAGCTAAAGGTGTAAGCATACATCTGCTGGAGATAAATGTGTAACCATAAAAATGAAATGTTGGAGCTAAATGTGTAAACATAGATATGCTGGAGCTAAAGGTGCAAGCATATATATGCTGGAGCTAAAGGTGTAAGCATATATATGCTGGAGCTAAAGGTGTAAGCATATATATGCTGGAGCTAAAGGTGTAAGCATATATATGCTGGAGCTAAAGGTGTAAATAGAGATACGCTGGAATTAAAGGTATAAACAGTGATGTGCTGGTAAACATAGATGTTGCTGTAAGTAATGGTGTCAATATGGGAGTGCTGCAGACAAAAGATTGAAGAAATGGTCACAGACAAACATTCAGCCTTCAATGTCAACGTTTTGTGATAGTAATACACTGAAGCTTGCTGGAAACGAAGACAAACAACACACACACTATTGGTAATTAAAAGGTTTAATACATTCTGACAAGTTGCGTGTTGTGAGATATCCACAAGGGTAATGAAAGTGGGTCCGTGGGTGGGAGGTTAAGACAAAAAAAATTAAATTAAAAACAAAATAATTATTTAGAATTACTGCATAGATTTCGAACCCCTTATTGACGGGATAGATGTGGTATTCTCCACCAAGAT